TTTTATGCATGGCAGAGAAGAAGAGCACAACACAAAGCAGCAGGGGTGGACAATTAATAGATTGTTAGTTTAATTAAGATCCAGGCCATTCACATTGTCAGTGATATTCTGATCCTCTGTCTGTAAAAGCATCGAGTTTGACTATTTTAGGCTAAATGATGCTCACTAAGATTATGTTATGTTCATGAAATTAATAAGGAAGTGATTTTCTTTTGTTTTCAGGAAAAAAATACATACATAAATAATACTTGAAATGGATAAATATGAGGAGCAAAGAAAAACGTTATTAATTATTCCATATTTACCTGCCCTACAAAGCAGTTTTGTTACTTATTCGATTGCTATTATTTAATATCTGAAAAGTAATAAATGCTGCCTCAGCTGTTTTGTCCACATACTAGGGATGTAACAAATATTGTGATATTGTATCTTCAAAATTCTCACAATAATATCATGGACCATCACAATATATCGAATGTACAAGTCTCTTTGCTTAAATTAAGAGTTATGGTGCAGCAATAGGTAAAAAAAAAGACAAAGGGAACTACATGATCCTTTACTCCATTTCAGTGTAGACTACAAGAAGAAATAACAGTTCTAAGCATTTTTAAGTCTTAGTTCTTTGGATTAAGTCTTGTCAAGGCATTTTAAGAGGAAAAAGTAGAATATTAACAGTTTTGTGTTTGCCTCCACAAAATATCGTGAAAATATCATATTGAGAGATTTGGATATTGTTACATTCCTGATCATGAGCCTCCCCACCATGTCGTGACCTTTCCCATGATCTCGCAATAAATATCGTACTGTGAGGTTCATACCATGACGATATCGTATTGTGAGACTTGGATATTGTTACACCTCTACCACATACCATTACTTTAGCCTGTCCCAACTATAAGTGTGTTGCCAGTACACACGTAATTCACCAGAGCCATTTTTTATTGCATCAGTTGTCTCCTTTTGTGGTCCATTTCTGATAAATGCTAGCTAGTTTTCCTCTGTGTCAGGTAGCCTGTACATTGAATTTCACAATACTTTTGAAATGTTTTTATAAGCTGCTCTAAGCATTTATGCCTAATGTGACAGTATGAGAGATGTAATCCTTTGATATTTAATACACTGTTGTATGTTGTAGATCCGTTCTTATTTTTACTGACAGCACTTTCCATTTAGCACCAGGCCAAAGCAAAACAGAAAAGGAGAGAGACAGGTAGGCTGACACGATTGTAGCTTCGGTTTTATTGGTGACTACCTCATAAGGCGTGAGGAGAGGGAAGCGAGCTCTTTTGTATCCAAGCAACGGCAGAGATGGTCCTTGATCACTGATGATGATGTTATATGGTATGCAGGGGAGTCATATTAGCATGTTTATGGGGTGGGCTAAAGTTGTTTTTGTGTTGTTAGATGCAATCACTGGCTTTGCACTGACTAATATGATCAGACTCTGTAAGTATTATTGCTCACACTGGCCTTGTAGTTTTCTGCTTTGTATCACCAGATAGGAAGAAAAGTGCACGACTCTTCAAGACTAGACGACTCTGCCCTCTAGCGGGAGAGGTCGGAAGTCTCAAATCTTCTATAATTTCAGTTTTTACAACTCACATTTCTTGGATTACAGTGAGAAATTACACTGTCATTCCATTTTAGTTACAAAAATGCAGCAAGATTATGTGTAAAAAAAAAGTGTATACACGCATCTAAAGTTGTAGTGCCTTACTGAAAATTCCTTGAAAAGCTATAGCATCTGTAAGTAGTCAAGCAGGCGGCAGACTCTTCAATAGAAAAATTGCTTAGTGTAAACAATGGTATGCAAAAAACAAATGAAAGTCCAAAAATGAGTAAAAATATGTATTAATTTGTGTCCCCATTGCCAGTATTACATCCTAAATGCTCCTTTCCAATTGCTGGGAGATTAGATGTTTTAGTTTTATGAGAGACATTCAGGCCACTTATTGTAGCATGGGAAAATTGCATACAATAAACATGATGAAGTAGCCTCGCCTCGGGGCTTTAAGCGTCATTGCAGTGCTTCTATACGCAGGGGGGTTCACAACGAGATATTCCAAAACTGATTATATCTCATTGTAGCTGAACTGTGACTTTTACCTCGGGCCATGGAATATTCATATATGGCTATAAAAGCGTATTTTCCCTTGTTTTTTTATAGCAGCAAGGATGGCTGAGGTTGATACCGACTGAAATGTCCAGACGTTGGGGAATCACTATTCAGGACTGAGGCGGTTTTCTTGTAAATATGCAGTACTTTCGGTTAGAGCTGGGAAATACAGTTTCCAGTCTGACCCTGGCCGGCCCCTTTCCATCTGTCACAGCAGGTCATGTGTGGACTTGATCGACAGAAAATTGTTCTCGAACGCAATTTTCCTTTTGTCACTTTCTAGAGTCTGATTATGTACAAAACTCTACAGACAATACCACGGCGTGTAAAAAAATTAAACAAAAAAAAATCTATACTTCTATTAGATAGTCTATTCTATTGTCTTACAGAATCATTTTTCTGTAGAGAGTCACGTATTGATCGCTTTAAGTTCTGTTTAGGCTGAGTGTTTATTTTAATATCACAACCTCTTATACTACAACAACTCCATACTTTTATGCACGTAGAAAATAATGTAATCGAACTGCAATTATTTATCCCATCTCAAATTTCATCCATCCATAGTTGGTGAAAAACTAGAACATATGCCACAGCAATTAAAGTCCACAAAATTAGAAGAAAGTTACATGACTGAAACACATGAACCAGATGTTTTTTTATATTTTGAATGTTGATCATACTCTTAAATGGTATGTTAGGAGTGAGTTTTCTCTACAGAGTGTGGTGTAATTATTGTATTTTATTTAAAAATGAAGGGTTTTCAACAGTTTATGAACATATCACTACGGATGATCATGTTTGTATTGTCCAACCTCAATGTTTAAACAATGGTAATTTTAAAATGATAAACAATAAACTTGGCATCTATTCAAAAGTATTCTGAGACTAGTTTTAGGACTGCTGAAACCCATGAATTGTGTGATAAATGTATTTACCAGTAGTGATACAACAGTTTTTTTGGTATGTTCTCTTTGTTTATTTATGTATTTTTTGTTTATTTATGTATTTATATATGTATATATGTATATATATATATATATATATATATATATATATATATATATATATATATATATATATATATATATATATATATATATATATAAAGTTTTTAACATTAAATTCTGAGCTCTATACCACACCAAAATATACATACATTGGCCTATTAAAAAAATAATGAACACTTTTATGCCTAAAGAATCATCAATTACAAACATGCGCTGCTCATTATGTAGTTTGTAATTGTGATTGACAGGTGTTTGTTTGTGTGTGCATTGGTGCGCGTCGGTGCGGACCCACTGGCCATTTCACTGTATGCCGTCGCCATGGTGAAGGTGGCATTCTCACTCCACCCGTTGCTTGGCTCCTGTTGCTATGAAACGGCACTCTTATGTTCCATGTGTCAGTTATCACACGGGGGGAAAACATGGCTCCCTCCTGCACATTTTCTGCTCACCTACAACTCCCGTGCACCAGACCTGCACCAATTCAATTACTATTACATCAACTGGGGCTCAGATGTGTCACCTACCAGGAAGGCTCATCGTCAAGTACATTTTGACCTCACAGCACCTTTTTGTGCAGCGTGCATAATGTTGTTTTTAGAGTTGGAACACCTGTGCAACATTTCTAAAAAAATTCAAAATGTAGCCTAATAAATGTCATAAAAGTGAAATTGGACAGAGGACCCTCTTCTCCCCCATTAAAAAAAAAAAATAATATTAACTTGAATGTAGGGATGGACCATTCCACCATTTTCAGTTCCGATACCAATTTCGATACTCTGGCTTAAAGTATCAGTCAATTCCCAATGTCAAGTGATACCAGTGTAGAGAAAACAGCATTATTCACTTAAAATAAGACCAAACTTACTCAAATGTGTTATGCAGGTGTTATTTAACTCTAAAGTCACTATAGAACAGTTCTGTATGAAAGAAAGTTCAAACATTTTGAGATTTTCTATTCCAACTATGACCAGGAAATAGTCTTATTATATCAGTTCATATGTCCATTCGGGATATCTGCTGAACCGATATTTGGACACCGATATCCAATCCTGCTAACCAAGTTGATAGAAACACTGAAATACAATAAACAATCGCTAAAAGTCCACCACACACGCCAGTGGGACAATTAGGTCTTTCCATGCCTCGGTGGGTTTCCTCGGGGCGCTCCGGCTTCCCTTATAAAAATAAAACAAAATAAGCGATGCCAGCCCCACTAAAATAGACTCAAAAAAGAATCAGAAATAGCTTGTCACTGCTGAACGAGCACCAGTGAGGTCATGGTTTCACAGCATAGTTTTCATCAATGACATGTGTTTATTTAGTTTGTTAGTTTTCAGTGGGACAGTCTACATTAATAAACATTATAATAATGTAATAATGCTAATAATTTTGTCATTATTGGGTCTATTAATGTGAACAGAACTGAAAAGAATTGCCTTTTATGACGTGAAAGTGCCTCTCAGGAGGAACCCACAGTTTGCAAGCGACTTTCTAAAAATAGATGCTCAAAGCTGCTAAAAAGAAGTGGACTTGGCAACTCTGAAAGCAGGCCTATCCTGCAGTAGATGCTCCTGTTCATGATAGAGAATCTGCATTGCCAAAGTGAAGGATTAATTGATTATTTCCTAACAAATGCTCTGTTCTTTTTATGTTACTATCTCCCATTAACACTTTTCTGTTTACTGAAAATTATCATGTGGTGTGAAACTGAACTAAGATTCATGTAAATTTGTCACTATTTTTGACTAAGTCTGTTTTTCTTTTTATTTCTGAAAAATCATATAATGACTCATCAATCTCAAAACAAGCAGATATTTAACCATCTGTCTCTGGCCTTGATTCAGGCACACTCTCTCTGTTTCTCTTATGTGTTTTAGTGGGAGAGGCCAGAAACCTGATTCCCATGGACCCCAATGGTTTGTCAGATCCCTATGTCAAACTGAAACTGATCCCAGACCCGAAGAATGAGACCAAACAGAAGACAAGAACCATCCGCTCCTCGCTCAACCCCTGCTGGAACGAGTCCTTTACTTTGTGAGTACAACATTGACATACAGGCAGTACAGTGTTAAATTCATTATAGGCTTGTACTGCTATGAAAAATAAAATAAACTTATTGAAGACCATTTTGATACTGATACTGAACCCCAAGACCACCAGCTTGTGACATGACGATAACCCGCCACGTTACAGGTCAGATTTTTGGAGAGAAGCAACCCCACTCATACTAAGATTTTAAAGGTGGATTTCAGTAATAAAACTTAAAATAAAAAAATCAATGCCAATTCTGTGAATAATTCAGGCAAAGATGGCGGTATGAAGGTGGCAGTCCCCCCATTGGAAAAGTTACATAGTGCACCTTTAAATTTTAAACACTAAATAAAACAATAAATATAAATCTTAAACAGTATCATCTTTTGAATGATAAGTGAATATTGTAAATGTTGATACTTGCCTGTTCAATATAACGCTGAACCACAAAAACATAACATTTAACTATTTAATCACTTTATATGAAATGCAAATCTGACTTAACCGTCCCATTAAAGCAAAAATTACAAAATATAATTATGTTATTAAAGCACTGTTAATGAGCATCTCTACTCATGTCACGTAATACCGCTTGATCTTAGTCTAGTTTTGAGTCTGACTCCTGGCTCTGCTCTTGTTTGTCCCTCAGTAAACTGAAAGCATCAGACAAAGACCGGCGCCTGTCCATTGAGGTGTGGGACTGGGACCGGACCACCAGGAACGACTTCATGGGCTCCATGTCGTTTGGAGTGTCAGAGCTCATCAAAGCTCCCAACTGTGGATGGTCAGTGCTCTTCTGCAGTACACTCATAGTTATACTGGTAATATAATGGTATTTAAGTATTGCATTTATGACTTTTTACACCAAAAATACACCAAACTGCTAATCATCATATTTGTGCTCCTATAATGTTAAAAATTGCTTTACTTTCCCTGGAATGTTCCTCAGTATTAAATTAAACTTATCCATCTCCATAGAGACAAGCTGAGACCAAATCAAATTACAAGTCATATCTGTGGTGAGGAGACCACACTGACAATAATATCAGTATTTCTGTTGCTGTTTTTAAAGGTATTCTTGAGCAATAAAGCAATAAAAGTAATAAAAAGTAAGTAATAAAACGTGCATGTTAGATAACTTTAATACCATGCAGGGGAACATTCCAGCAAAAGCCAGAAAATGATCATGGTAATGAAACCCTGGCACCAAAAGTTACATAGTGCTCCATTAGATTTTATATTGTTGCAGTAGTCGCACACACAAAATAACTGCAATAACAGCAAATAAACAAAGTGCTCATTGTTAACAATTTGTTCAATAAATGGCTGGGTTCAGATTACATCACAACCTTTTATGGAGACAGGTAAAGTGACTGTTGTAATGTTACAGTCTTGTTGTAACATACCAAGATCAAGGGCCTAATCCTCACAATTATAAAAAAAATCTGATTAACTATTTGTGTAATGACTCTCACCCCCCATTTGAGAATACGCCATAATCACTTTCTAGCAACTGAAATAATCTCTTGTGTATGTTTTTCATGTATGTTGTTGTTTTAATGTGCACTAAAATGCTGATTATGTTTTTCAAAGCCAAGTTACTGTTTTTTGCAAAAGTAGAAGTTTTATGTATTCATGTTCAAAGTTCAAAGTTATCTTTACTGTCAATTTCTTCACTTTTACTAGACATACGAAGAATCAAAATTACGTTTCTCTCTATCCCATGCGTAATAAATTAATGATAAATGGTAAATCGTGAAAAGGCATATAGACAGTCTTTTTTGGGGGGGTCAGGGGGGGTCTTAGTCCAAGTGTTCTTTCTGGAGTTTTGTTCTCAGGGAGGTGCAGATTCCTTGCTTCCTGGCCGTCTGGTGGGTAGAAAGGGGAGAAGAGATGTGCTTTTCTAGTTGAGGATGAGGCAAGTTTATAACAGGACAGGTGGCTATTAATTTTACCAACCAAGCACATATTTATTATATTATTTATACATTTTATAAACCTTGTATCAAACCAATTCAAAATGACTAAACAATCTGATCATATTTTCTTGACCTGGCTTCTTCTTCATTTGCAGACAGTTTGATGTAATGCGTGACGGTACAACAGTTCCTCTCATTCATAAACACTTTCAAATCACTTTTCCAAAGCAAAGTTTCCACTGCCACTTTCGACTAAACACAGCCTGATTGACCACGGCTTAAGGTTCAGAGAGACTTGAGGCTAAGCAGGCACGGAAAACAGGAGTCATGTTGTCTTAGATAAACCAGCATAGATGATATCATTATGAAACATTTAAAGGGCCCATATTATGATTATGTTATAATGTTTACTCATCACAAACACACCTGGAGTTGTGTTTTGTTTCATTCACAAATGTTTAACACACAAATCCTGTATATTTAGGCTAAATTCCTCTCTCAAACAGAAAACACGACATACACTTTTACTTGAATCATTTGGATAATGTCAGCCCTGGAATTGATAATCTCTACTGAAGTAAAGATAAAAGGTAGCTATTAAATTGGAAACTACTGCTTCATGCCATCACAAGGTGGAGTAAGTATTTTGAGCTTTGGAGATGTAGACAGACTAATAATAAAGGGTTATTCAAACATGTGTCAGTGAAACAAAACACAACTTCAGGTATTTGGTTTTTGAGGAGGTAACAGCATTATAACATGTTTTAAAACTCACAAGAGCCAATTTTGTGTTATATACAGAGTTCCCACAGTTATGAAAATCCTGGAGAAGTCATGAAATTTTGTAAATTCAATGAAAGTTTTGGAAAAGTCATTGAATTTTAGTATCTCTTTCACACAACTACAGTCTTCTGTTATGTTATCATTAGGCTATTCTTATTATTTCCAAACATTTGCTTCTTTTGTTTAACAGAGACAACAATAAATGCAGTGACAGTATTTTGAATGTTAAAAAAATTTAATACCATAACCATAAGGTGAATGTAAAGGGTTAACGTTTCATATTTAGCCCTAAAAGTATGTTTATTTCTGCACATGTAGGGTGCTGTAAAGTCATGGAAAAGTGTTGAAATTTTGTCAGTGAAAAAGAGTGGGAACCCTGAATATACGACTTTACCAGTCCAATGCTTTAACCTGGCATCCAAACTCTTATTTTTGTATTTCAGGTACAAGTTGCTGAACCAGGAAGAAGGAGAGTACTACAATGTTCCCATCCCAGAAGTTGACGACGTAAACTTTGAACTCCGTCAGAAATTTGAGGTAATGACAAACCACACATTTCAGCTGAAAAGTTCTTGTCCTGTCATCCTTCATATGTTGACAATTCAAATGTATTTTTCTCCCGTCGCCATGGTAACCTGCTCGTCATTTTTCAGCAGAGTAGGAGAAAGATCAGCTTCTGCTCCTGCTGAATTTGCAAATTTAATAGAAGTTTGTAAAAATTATGTAATAAGGATAGGTGCATTAAGTTAGGAAGCTGAAAGTAAAGTCATACATCAGCAGTGAAGATACTTTCTCCATACTTCCTTATGTTGAAGCTCTCTGTGCTCCATCTTTTAATTAAATCTTTTAAAAAAACATGTAGTATTTTCTTATTTTCAACACTAAAATAACACTGACTTGAATGGTTGAAATATGTTTGAAGTTTCTAATCATGATGTTCTAAAAATATATAGTCTTTTTTTTATTAATCTGCCTTTAAGATTATCAGTGTACAAGTTGAGAAATGTATTTTTGATTTAAACCAAACCAAAATGTTTTTCATTTGTTATATTTACAAGAGTAGATACTCATCAGGTCCTAACAGGTTAATGAATATGAAACTAGAAGTGAACATTTTAACAAGTGAGACCCTTCTTCAATAGGAACTTGGCATGGTTGATGAGCATGGTGCAAAATATTCAGCCTACGTACGCCATCTAGTGTCCAATCCGTGTCAAATGACAACTGTGCAAAATAGCCTATTACAATTTTGTGGGTGTTTCTTAATAACATTTCTACAATACCCTGTTTGCCATAACCGATTTCGACTTAAATAGCATTGAGGTTTGGTTATAATTTTAATCCTAAATAATGCTGTTGCTGATTTGAATTTTCTTTTCATAAAGTGCTGACCTTGACTATATCCTTACAGACTTCATACACGCTTGTAGTTGCCGTGGAAACTAGACAAAATACTGTGCTGGCCCCATCTGGCTCAAAGATGCATTGTTCTACCTCCTCTGTGCTTTTATTATGTGTTGTAACATGTCACTTTTTACAACAAAACTCACACACACACTAATTAAATAACTTTAATTCAAATGTTGTTTGTCTTTTAGGCCTGCCAGTTAAATATCCACTATTTAAAGGTAGCCTCTGCCTGCTGTGTTCTTCTAATGCTACCAGCCTGCTTCTCATTTTAGACTTCAGATTGTTTGTGGATCTCTGGCAGACATCCACAAACCAATCTATTTACTAACAAAAGCTTTCAATTGCAAAAAAAAAATGATGGTCACGATGAGACATCCACATCTCTGTCAGTGATATTGGACAGTAAAAACAGTCAAAATGTATGTTATTTCACTTACATTACCACAGGTTTTATACACAAAATCATGGCCATGTTATTGCTAGAAGGTTATTCAGTACTCTGCAATAATTATTACCACAAATCTATTGTAGTTTAAAGATTTAGAAATAGAAATGTTCAACATAAAATATCATCTTTCACATCAATTTTGGTTCTTGACCAAAATTCCTACAGGTTAACTAAGTTCAGGTCCCTTTATTGTTAGAAGTTAGGGTTACATTTTGTAGTTTGAAGGTCAGAGGCCAGGTATTTTTAGCCACAGGTTACGGTTCAGAAAAATAAAATCTTTTTGAGAAGGGCATCTGTTGCTTAAAGCACTCATGTAAATATTGTGGTTTTAATAGAATTATATAGTTATAGATAAAGATTATGCTAACAGGCTTGTAGGGAAAATTATACAAAAGCAGGGCAGCTGCACACATGTTCCTTTTTTGAACACAAGATGGCGATATTGTTAGTAAATAATGGCCTTTTCTGTCTCACACTGCACCTGCTGACCCTGCTGAAGTGTGGTCCCTCCTCTATAGTTTGGACTATAGAAGGCCTTTTTGACATGATGCATGACTTTAAACTCTGAATCTAACTCTGAATTACCAGGCTTTTTCTTTGCATGCCACATCTTAACACCTGAGGCAGTGTTATTGTGTATTTGTAGTAAAACTGGTGGTGCAATGTGAATGCTACACTTTCTTACCTCAAACATAAATATTCAGTATTTATGTATTATTACACCATATTCACTTATTTAGGAGTCAGATAAATTGTCTGTAATGTCTCTTCCTTAAATGTGCACTATGTAACAGTATCTGGCAGTGTCTGCTTGTCTCCATTTAGATAGAGCCATACTGTGGAACATTGTAATATTGACTTCAGTATTAATGGCAAATAACAATGACAACTACATGGAGACAAGCATGTGGCTTCACCAGAAAAGTTAAAAAGTGAACATTTAAAATGCAGTTTAAACACAATTATTCTCACTTATGTAAATATGAAGCAGAGGATTTTTTAATGTTTAGACTACTATGGTCACATTGTTATCCAAAAATGGTCACCTTGGCAACGGCTTTTACTCCACCAGCAGACAGAGACAGCGGTGCGAGTGGTGATGGGTGCGGGCGGGGCCCTAATTGCCCTTTAGTTCTTGTCTGCTGGCAGGCCTGTCATTATAACGACGGGGATCCATGGCTGGCTGGTGCCCCCCGCTGACGGTCCTCTTCGCAGTTTCTCAAAAAATAATTGTGAAAAGAAGATTACCCTCTATGAACGGCTGCATGTCAAAAAGTGCATGCTTCCAAATCTCATGGGAAAGGTTTAGTTCTCTGGGCCTCAAATCTGTGAAAACACATTCAAAGTACATTGAAATATAAAGATCTCTTGTTTTACTGGTGCCTTTTTGCTTTCTATATATTCTATATAAAGTCTTGCCTCCTGATTACAAATTCTGACTGGAATTATTAAGCACAAATGTAATTTGAACTCAATGTAGTGGTGTCCTTTTTATTCCAACTAAATGATTCCAAAGCTTATGAAAAGATTAATAAAAATATGTATTTCTTTTACTTTTTTATCACAGAAAGCCAAGTTAGGCCATGGCAAAAAAATGATCACACCAACCGATCATCGGCGCTTCAGCCTGCCCTCTGGGAACATGGACCGGGTCAGACTCAGCGACTTCAACTTCCTGGCTCTGCTCGGAAAAGGCAGCTTTGGCAAGGTCTGGAAAAAAACTGTCTAGTACCATTTTATAAGAACCTAATCAGCCTTAATACAGTATGAACAAAAAAACATTCTTAAGAAACTATGTGTTCATCAGTGTGAACCACGCCGCTGAATCTTGGATGGAATTTTCTGGGTTGATGACGTAGATAGAGTTTTATAATTAAGTAAGATCTTCTTCTGTATTTTTTTCTTTTCTTTTAATTTTTTTTCCCCAGATTGCAACAATAAATATTTATCACAGATACTATCCTACCAAACCACCTAATAATTAGAAAAATGTGAACACCTGTCCTATGCACTTTAAGTCATAGTGTTTGTGCTTTATTAAGGCTTTTAAAAGTATAGTTATATAAAGTTTTTTCTATGGTCCTGTTTGTGGCACATCTATTCACCTTTGCAATTTTTCTATAGGTGATGCTAGCTGAGATGAAGTCCACTGAGGAGCTGTATGCAATCAAGATCTTAAAGAAAGACGTGGTGATCCAGGATGATGACGTTGAATGCACGATGGTGGAGAAGCGGGTGCTGGCCCAGAGAGACAAGCCCCCTTTCCTCACACAGCTACACTCCTGCTTTCAGACGGTGGTGTGTACTTCAGCCCAGACCTATCTCTATTATTACATACAATAGTCCATTCATCATCGTTTCAGATTTTCCTTCTATGTATGTGCTGTCATCACCATCATCGATCATTCAGTCTCTCCACCTGCAGTTTTTATTACTGGCCTCCGCCTTAAAAAGCACAGACCACCTGTGAATACAAAGCCACACAAAGCGCCGGTGACGTGAGCAGTGGACGCTGATAGGAACACTTACTGAAACCTTATACATATCAAAGTACAGGTGCATTTATCAGTGTGAACATCAGTGTTGGTGATATCTAAGATTGCTTTTTTTTCCATATAGATGCGCTAAGCTTCACCAGTCTCTTTGTGCTCATGCATGTCTGCCAAATCATCCTCAGTGCAACAAATGTGTCTTTTTGTGGCTGTATGTTTATATAATTGTTTAGCATATGTATATATCGGTTCAGTATTTGGGCTTTTAGCATATCAACTTTAAATCTCCAGCACATTTTATTTTTTCATATTTTGCTTCAGTTAATCTGCTGCCTAATAAGTACTTATAAAGCTTTATTTAAAAACTTTAGCACAAAGGGAAACTGCACAAAATGTGACTACACTGCTCTCTTATATGGGTTAAAAAGAGCTGTGGGGGAGTTTTATTAAATTTCAATTACATAATTTTAGAAAACTCATCAAGATCTACCCAAAAATATCAGCAGAGCTTATCCGCCATTGTTTGCTTTGGATTCTAAACAATTTGTATCGCCAAACATTTTGATTAGGGGTGTGCAAAAATAGTAAAATATTGTATCATTTAATGTGATGATACAGTAACGATATCTTGGGCTGCTGTATTGATATATTGCCAAAAGTATTTTTTTGGTATATTTTACTCAATTATTTTGTTACTGCGCTACAGATTTATTGCTTGTGTAAGGGGAGGGAACTTGTTTATGTGACACATTTGACATTTTCACTGTTTTGATCAGTGTGTTTCATATGAACTTTGCACAAGTAGTGGTTTAACAAAGACGTTTAGCATCACAGCCATTGCTTTTATTGAACCATATCAAATCGATTTGCAATATACCGAATCGAAAGTGCCTTGTATCGAGATATGTATCGTATCGTGGCCTGTGTATCAAGGTATGTATCGTATCGGCCACGTCTTAATGATACAGAGCCCTAATATTGATGGATCTCTAATATATAACGTATAGCATTAAACACCTTCGGGGCACTTGGGTGAATCACTTTTGGTATTCTGCTTCTGAAAATGGCCTAAAAATGTAAATACTGAAATTTGTCATTAACCAGGATACTCTTTTGTTTCCAGGACCGACTTTACTTTGTCATGGAGTACATCAATGGAGGCGACCTCATGTACCACATCCAACGCATGGGCAAGTTCAAAGAGCCACAGGCAGTGTAAGGATTAAAGTCTTTCGTTGTGTGTTGTGAGTAGATTATGACATTATTAGAGTATTTTACTGGATAAAATACAGATTTATATTTAAAATTCTGTTTGATAGTGATGTTTTTGTTTTGTTTTTTGCCATAATATTAAACTTTCTGAACTAGATTTTAAGTTCAGAGTGAGTCAATCCAGAGCACAACCAAAACAATACTCTAGGTAATAACTAATATTTTCTGCATTCAGTTTTAACCAAAGTCAATAACAATTTCTTTGCTTTTGAAGCCCAAGGCCAAGACATTAAAAACAAATTTAAAAAACAGATTTTCTTTTCTGTTTGTTATCGTGTAAGACCTCATTAAAAAACATCAATAGCCCTTTGCAATTGGGTTCAAATGGTTTGTGCAATAGCAACAAAAATACCAATTACTATATTCAGTATATGTTTTGAATTCATTAGGAGTGCAGATGCATAGGCACAAACATGACTGAAGTTTGATTCCATATTATTTTATTGTGCAGATTTTATGCAGCAGAGATTGCCGTTGGATTATTTTTCCTGCATCGAAGAGGAATCATTTACAGGTATCTCCAAATGTTTGAATGACCTCTGACTGGAGTGAATTCTGCCTCTTATTAAAGACATATTTTTGTCCACAAAAATGTAGAAGCAAAAATGTTTGACAAGGAATGCTGTTAAGATGATTTTGAACCTACTTTTTCTACTTTAGTCACTTAACTGTATGAATACTACGCCACAAACAAAGCTGAACCTTATACGGCTGCTCTTCTCAGTGTTTTGTGAATAATTATAGTAGTTTCCACTGGCTCTGGAAACTTTCCAGAGCCAAACTCGCGTGGGCTCATAATAAAGATGGTACCTCAGTGAGCAGGGTGGAACCAAGAATAATATGAGTTATGCTATTTAATTTAATCTTATACTTGTTCTGTACCGCTCACAGAAGCCATGCCAGCTGCACCTTTCTCTTTAATTTGCTCAACATATCACGCTGTGTTTTGTCTCTACAGTTTGGGTTTTTACAAAATTGACATGTTTTATTTATTTTAAGATAGATCTATTTATTTATTTATTCTAACATAAAAATGCATATGACAAGTTGGACTAGAAATTTTACTAAAACACAGTTAGAATAATTATACTTAAGATTTTAAACATTTTAGATTTCAACTTTTACTTCCTGTTTGTAAATATTACAAGAGGGAATTCCATAACTGTTACCTAGCAACCATGTAGTACACTGGGCCAAAACGTGTGTACACACAAAATAATATCTGACAAATAAAAATATGAGAAAACACATTTATTTTGTTGAAATATTGAAAATATTAGGGGGGGAAAGTATTTCTTCTGTGTAAACTGTGCTGAGCTGTATTCAGTCTAAAACAGAACTGTGTACTTCAAGTCATTTTCAATTTTCATAACATATTTTTCAAGTTTTTTTCATAAATTGCTTCTTGATTGGTGTAAAACTATAATATATATTTACACCAAATATTATCCCACCAAATTAAGTTAAAATTCAAGAATCATCAGAACCTTTAACCTTAACAGGAGAGACGCAGTTTACCAAGTTGTAGCTAATTTGCTGCCTGGAGCGTAATAATTATATACGGCAGTGACATGACAACAGTTAATGGTGCCACTGTAATTGATGCAGTGTTTAATTCTCCATGTGACAGTAACATTGGGGAATCATAATTAAAATAAATACATGTGAATCCTGTGCTCTGCTGCAGGGATCTGAAACTGGACAACGTGATGCTGGACTCAGAAGGTCACATTAAAATCGCAGACTTTGGCATGTGCAAAGAAAACATGTACGAAGGCATGACCACGCGCACCTTCTGTGGTACACCTGACTACATCGCTCCAGAGGTGAGACTGATCTAGATCACCTCTATATGAATGAATGAATTTTATTTGCTTTAACATTAATAATACAGAACATGATGAACTGTAACATTTAACAAGTCACAGTGAGTTTGAGAAGGAGTAGAAAGAAGGGCTTATTCTGGTTCCTCTTAAAGGAAAAAATTTCTGGTGGAGAATCCATCACCTGCTTCTCTCCATGGTGATATGCCTGGAATGTTCCCATGTTCTTTTTTTTATACTATTTATCTCTAAGGAGACAGCAGGTGATAGCGCAGGGCCAAGTTTCATGACAGGTGATGGATACATTTAATTTACATTTATTAATTTAATTTACATTTAAGATGTTCTCCATGGAGACAAGCAGGCGGTGAACTGTCCACAAGTAAAGTTACACAGTGCACTTTTAAGAAAATGTGTACAATAGTTTTACAAACAATAATATCTGGTATTATTAGGTTAGGTTATTAGGTTAGGTAACTGGTACAGGGTCCAGGACAATCAGAAAAGGGAAAAACATGTATTTAAAGATTACGCTTTGTAACCTGTCTTGTGCAACATTGGCCACCTGATGATCTCCATGGAGATGTTATTGCTTTATCCAGAATGTTACATGGTATAGCATTAAACTTATCTAGCTCAATGAAGACAGGTGATGCCATCAGGTTGTTATAGGTTGTTATCAAGGTATTTTAGTAGTAAAATCACTTGTAATTGAATAAATGCAAGATAGGTCTAATGCCATACAGTGGAACACTCCAGGCAAAACAATAACACCTCTATGAAGACAAGCACCTAGTACCAGACCCCAGTTATAAAAGTATGTGCACCTTCAAGTTGTATTTGTGAATATTCAACTAAATATATTCTATTACATTAAATTATGTATAATCATATTTAATTTGCCAACATATTTTACTTACAAATAATACACCCACAGTATCTGGTTGCATTCCCTCTTCAGAAAATTACATCTAACTGCTCATGACTTCCCTTTACATTATAACAAAATCCTCTACATTTCCCAGGTCACATCAGGAGCTATATATCTGTCTCTTGTGCTGATTTGTGTCAGCAGTGGAGCGTCTAATTGCTCTTTAGTGAACTGTGAACATTTGAAAAGTGCAGCTGCAGTGGCTCTCGGCGCAGGATTGTCTTCATGATTAGTGTTAGAGTGGATGTGTGTCTCCATGTGGGGGTGTAACAAGTAGGAAGGCAAATTGGCTGGTAGCAGAAAGATCCCATTGTTACTGTTGCTCAAAATAGTCACTTTATCTAATGACGCCGGGTTTGAGTTTCCAAAAGATATCGCTGCTGCTCTTTTCATTATCTCCTCTGTAAATTAAATCCACAGTTTAATTTGAATATTCAAGAGCATTTTTACATCTCACTAGGTTTGTACAGTTATCATAATCAAATCGAAATTGCAATATGAGTTGGCACAATTATCAAAGACTGCAATGTCTTCTAAAAAGTACAAAATATCTTTCTGTCTTCTCATGGAAAATTCTTTTTATGATATGTTCTGAAACTCATGGGATTTTTGATATATGAGTCTTCTTTCAAATGTTAGTGGTCCTGGAGTTGTTTACAATGTGCAATCTGAACACCATCCTACTTTTTAAAACATATAAGTGTTATTATGATACTAACTGAACAGTGTTTTCATTGCATTAAACAAAACTTAATAAACTCTTTGTGTCTTTTTAGATTATTGCATACCAGCCTTATGGGAAGTCAGTGGACTGGTGGGCCTATGGAGTTCTTCTGTATGAGATGCTTGCAGGACAGGTAACTAATTATTTTAGGGTTTTTTTTATTAAATGCAATGACAACTCAAATAGTTTGGACAACGTGAACAATACAATAAACAACATTGCTCCTTTTGTCCCTCTTCAGCCCCCTTTTGATGGTGAAGATGAGGACGAGCTTTTCCAGTCCATCATGGAGCACAATGTGTCTTATCCCAAATCCATGTCGAAAGAGGCAGTGTCCATCTGCAAAGGAGTAAGTGTTACACCACAATGTCCTCTGATCCTTAACTTTAACAACCTCAAACCCTGATTGGAGTAATATCTGATTTATATCTAGAGTTAATGTAATTGGACAAAAACAGGTATTTCACAATTTCAAAAGAATGGACCATAAAAATTAAACTAACTCATATGTAAGGATAAGGTATCATAAACAAACACACATGTGCAAATCATCACAGATTAGAGGTGTGGAGGTTATTCTAATATCAACAATGGCATGAATATTGTTTTGAATACTGCAAAAAAATCAGCAAAAACCACCTAGTGCCTCCAATCGGAATACACTACATGATTTGTAAGAACCCTGGAAGTTGTAGACTGCGCACCGGCCAATCAGCGAAGAGCTGTTAAGCCATGACTGGGTTTCTTTTTGTGGTGCAGCACAATAGTAAACAAAGCAGTTGAGATGGATGTAGATGAAGCCATGCATTCTGTGTTGGCAATGATTCCTGAGATCGAGGATCTAAAGCCGGAACAAAGAGAATGTTTGGTGAACTTTATCAAGGGGAAAGACGTTATTGCCCTTCTTCCCATGGGATTTAGGAAAACCTTAATATACCAGTTAGCCCCGTTAGCGGTGCATTACATACATCATGACCAAATAGCAGCGATTGTTTAAATAAAAAAAGTACCCGTCTACCATCGAGAAAATGAATGCTGCCAGGTCAGATGGTTTCCACAAAGTGAAACCGCCTGATGAATCAGGCTAGCAAAAAAACAGATTGAACCTGAAAATGGACAGTAGTTATATTATAAATATACATGACTCTGCTGTTAACATAATATCATGAATATTGTTCTTGAGATACTAAAATAATATTTGAGATGTTCATTTTTTCAATATCGCCCTCTCCTAACACAAGTATTTGTTGCTTAATCACTGTGTACATACAATTTACTCATGCAATTAAAAAGTGAAAGTGTAACTTCTTAAACTTAGGTATTGTTTCTGGGTACAGTTTTTCTGCTTATTTTAGAGGAAACTGTCTATTTTTGGAAGTGTCTACCTCCTGTGTCCCACCTGGGCCTTTTCTGTATTATCACATAGAAGTGGTGTCATGCCTGTCCATTATTATTTACCCACAAGGAAATGAGTTTTCATTCTCACTTTTCACACCAGAGTAGATTCAATTAAGGTGCAGCCTGAGTCATTCAAAAACAAGGGGACCTGTGCGTACTGTGAAATTACATTCCGCAAACATATTATAGCAAATAAACAGAGACGCTGTCATGGTTCGCTTCAATTTTTTTGGAAACAGAAATTGTCTAATAAAACAGATGGTACTTTTTAAAGCAGTAGAGAGAGACACTTTACCAACACCTATAGAATGACTATAATTTAGAGCTTATAGACTTAAACAAACTTTATTGATCCACAAGGGAAATCACTTGGACACAGCTGACAAATATAATATAATAACAAAGAGCAAAAATATAAATGGTAATAATACATTCAAAATAAGTAGCAAAAATACCAAAAGACTGGTGTCAAACAAGGAATAATTATATAAATGTAAATGTACAAGTAAAAATAAATATTTAATTATAACATTTATGTTGTCTTAGCTGATGACCAAGCACCCATCCAAGCGCTTAGGGTGTGGACCAGAGGGCGAGCGCGATGTCCGGGAGCAGGCCTTTTTCAGACGCATCGACTGGGAGCGCCTCGCCAACAGAGAGATCCAGCCCCCCTTCAAACCTAAAGTGGTGTGTACAATCTGTCTCATACAGGCGGCAGAAACTCATTTGATTTGGAGTACACTGGGTTGGTGATTGTAATGATATACTTACTCTGCAAAAACTCTAATCTAGCCCAGTTAAGATTACGGCACTTGAATTAAGAAAGTTGTATAATGATTTGAATAGATTTCACTTGACAAGTAAAATGGACTACCAGTGGAACAAGACTTTTTGTACTTAAAATATAAAAATACATCTGACTAAACTTAAGATAAAAAAAAAAACACTTAAAATAAGAAACAAAATCTAATGTTGCTTGAATTAAGAAAACCTTTCTCCACTGGTAGATCATTTCACTTGTCAAATTGAATCTACTCAAATAAAGAAAAATGATCTTAAGCTAAGTCATTTTAACTTACAGAGATATTGCTTTTTTGTGGTGTACAATTAACCAAGAGGTGGTAAGAGTGGTAAATGTATACAGCTTTAAATGGTGATCCTAAATGTCACTGCAAAATGTAAAAATAATGCTATGATAGTTTTTAAATCTCTTGTGTTTAATACTATGTGTTATGCATATCACAAATTGGTTGAAAAATATAAATTAATAAACAAAAAAGTTAAATTCAGCATCCAGATACAGTTAAGAATTCAGAGCATTAAGTCATACCTGGATCTTGACTTTCTGAAAATGTCTATGAATAGTAATCATACATTTTAAAACATAATCTTGCTAACAGCTCAACTAAACAGTGTAAAAATACATTTGGCTTGTTATTGTTTTTCTCAAAACGTTACGCAGTATGGCATTAAACGTTAATTAATCTCCACGGAGACAAGCAGGTGAGAAGTTATAGGTCTCATCTATCGAGAGGTGATCCTGCTCAGTATTAGAATACATGCTTTCTAAGTTATTTTTGCTATCAAAACACATGAAATTGAGAAAATGTCCCAGAATGTAAGTCAGACAGACTTGAGACAAAACCCCAGCTACGGCCACCAGTCCTGAAATTAGTCTCCTCTCTTTAATTAGCCACCTATGCACCTTCCTCCTCCCCCCTTCCTCTGCCTTGGGTGGTGCCTTGGTGAATATAAATAGCCCTGTTAACTGCAGAGTTCCCTCACTGTCCCCTCCGCAGCCACAGTAAATGGTGGGATTACGTAGCGGAAGTATCAGGCTCCATTCATACTCAGAGGAAGCAGGACTGAATGTAGGTCCCATGTCTTTGTGCGCTGTGAGCTCATCTATGCGTCACTGTAGTCTGGAGGGAGGGTTCTCCTGAGGCTAAGTTTGTTAATATTAATGTTACACTATTCTAAACCAGGCTGACCTGACTGAAATGCTGTATGTCTAAAGGGACTTTTGCTGCATTTTTCATTCTCAGTGCAAATGCATTTACACATTTTTCTGGTTTGCTAATTATGTAATGAAGGATCATTCTCAATTGTTTTTGTTGAATTAAATTTATTTTTTGTACTTACGCTTAGTTGCAAGCAAACTATTTTATTTGTAATTCAAGAGTATTTTTGGTTTATGTATGTGCGCTTTCACTGTCAGAATTTCCCCAGATTTCGGACGGGGCCACAATTGGCACAAAACGATGAATGGTTCAAGTTTTATAGGTTTTTTAACATGAGGTAAGCTCCAAGTTTAAGGCCAAATACTTTTTAGCTCTTCTCTATGCACAAATACACTATGGTCAGGGAAATATAGTCTTCATAATCTGGAGAGCCTGACAGCCCAGAGCCACCCCCACACTGATGCACTGACCTCCACTGTGGACGACTCTAATCTAATTACAACCTCTGCCTGGTTACACACGCGCTTCGACATTTCCCTGCACCTTCCCTCTGGGACCCATGGCGCGCTGTCGAAAAGCAACAGGATGAAAAGTCTGATCGTTTAAGTCGCGAGTGGTAAACTAATCATTAGAGTCCCTCTGATCAGTGTGTGATGCCTTTAAATGAGACAAATAAAAGCACAGAAAAGCTATTTACAAAGTTCTGTGATTTGTGTTTACAATATTTGGTGATATATAATTCTACAGAGGGATGAGGAAGATTATTTGGTCAAGTCACAGTATAATCCAAAAAAGTCAAATTCCAATTCTACACTCCAAAAAGTACATCTAAATATAAGATGCTTTTGATCTGGTTGTTTATGTCACTTAATTACTTATTTTAATTACTTTTAATAAACCTTGTCACAAACTTGAATTGTGATCTCTTTCAGTCCGAATGAATGAAAGTGAATTAAGATCTCATTTATTTGGTCATGGTTTTAATAATTGGCAGTAAGCTGAATAATGGCAATTTTGACATTTCTTTTCACAATAACTGCAACATAAAAACTTATATAGTGACACTTACCTCACTATTGTATCTATCAATCCTAAAGTCTCATAGTATAGACCAGGGGTCACCAAACCTTTTTCTCTGGGGGCCACTTTATCACTCTTGACTGCGATGGGGGGCTAGGGTCGGGTCAGCCGTATAACTGGCCGTAGCATTGTATGACCCTGGCGACGTAGACGTAGTCCTTACACTGAACAAAATATTATCAGTCGTCCACTGTTCTGTGAAAACTCTGCACTCACACAGTTTTCATACTTTAACATTCATCCTTTTGCTGTCCTTAACTGCACTACAGTACTCTGCGTGTGCGTTGACTGTCACTTTTTGATCTTGAGCTTGTCAGGTGACGAAAATTCAATGGCAAATGTAAATACGTTATATAATTATTTAAATATAAATATAAATACTTCATATAAATATCATCTATATCATTTAATTGAAAAACGCAACAAAGCAACAAGATGCTAACATGGTATTATTTGCCAAAAAGTAATAAAAAAAATAGGCCATGTATGACTGCATATCTAATCTATTGCTGATCTTTTTCAGTGCGGCAAAGGTGCGGAAAACTTCGACAAGTTCTTCACCCGCACCCAGCCCGTCCTGACCCCACCAGACCAACTGGTGATCGCCAACATCGATCAGAGTGAGTTCGCGGGCTTCTCCTACATCAACCCTCAGTTCCTCCACCCCTCGCTGCACAGTGTGGTATGAACAGGAACTACAAGGACTCTTCCAAAACAAACTACAAATCCCAGACAACCGCCATCAACATCAATCACAATAGCTCGTTACATATTGGTCAGAAGATCATTGCGAAGTACCAAATTTATTTCAGTTTTATTTACGTAATCCTTATTTGTACAGGTGAGCTATTCCTGTGTATAATCGTGTAAACTTTGGATCACTGTGTAAAATGTTATATATTTATTTATAGATTTATTGTTTTACCATTTCAACAGTAGTCAGCCACCGCTATACTGTAGGTAACATTCAAATAGCAGGTTAATATTTGCAGATTATTATATGTTTTTGTTATTTTGAACTTTACTGTCATTTTTATCTTAGCGTCCAGACCAACTATAGTACAGTACTGTTACATAAAGCATTAAGAGTGCCAAAGTTATAATTAAGCATTTCCAACCACCTTCAAATCTTCTATTTCCCTCTGTTAACACAGTTTAATCCTGGCCCAGTCTGTTGAGTGTACAGTAACAAACTATTTATGTTGTGGGCAGAGTAAAGTCCACCACATAGGGTCAGAAAAACCTGAATATTTTGGTTGAAGTTAAAAAATCCTAGTATATGCACAAAGCAGTCCTCTGTCGCATGCTAGTTTTCTGACTCTATGGGCAGTAGACTATCTATGTAAAGGTTAGTATTATGATAAAAGCTATGTTATGTATTATTGTTGTAAAGAGAAAAGTCTTAAAATGTCTATAAAAATGCTTATGTTTCTGTTTATGTTCCGCTTAATCACTCCGGAGATGTTTACCCTCGTCAACCATTTTTGTAAATATATATTTCAAAAGAGATTTTATACTACAAAATGAATGTGCTTTTACTACCTTAGATCATTTGAAGATTTCTATGTGTTTAGATGACCCCTTACAAGAAAAAGTTTGGCAGAATCTTTGGTAGCTTTGTATCAGCAGATCTTGTTATATGTATTTCCTCTATCCATTTGTTTTCTACTACTGTGTCATAGAGAATATGCAGCACGTATCTTGTACGTGATTGGACGCCCTTTTTGCCTTGGTCGCCTACAGGCCGCCTCCTCCTGTTTATGGACTGAAATCATGTAGTTATAATAAGGATTTTTGTCTTTTTCCGTGTATTTTGTGTGCATGCGATCTAAGCATGTGAACACCCTTTGCATGGTACTGAAAACTCCCCCTGGTTTTGAAGCATGGAGCCTCCAACATTAACACGAAGTAAACCAGCAAGTATTGTATGCTTTCCTGCTCTCCATCCTCTCCCAGTGCTTCATGTAGCCCGCCATTTTGGCTCAAGAGCTGAATTATAAACAGTGATAAACAATGTATTAACGCTTACGTTCGTGCCATACCGGGTCCTTTGTTTCACGAGTATTACTTGTTGTTTTTTGCTACTTTGAGCTACAATACAATACAGCTTCTTAAAACTGCCAAATTGAATGTCTTTGGATTCCCTTATGTAGTTTTGTAACTTGATGTCACATTATCTGGACCAAAATGAGACTGATGATGACTGTTTACATGTCTCACATTGAGAAGTTGCATTGGCACAGGATCGGCCCATTATTACAGAACAGTACCGCTACAGGAGTTATTAAAGGGATGCTTGTGTTTCCTCTGACTGCCCCTGCTTTCTTTATCCTCACTCTTCCTGTTCCTCTGTTATTTGTGCTATGGATACTGTGTATACAAAATAAACTATAAATATGTCTGAATACTCTGTCTGTCACAGTTGTGCACTATTCAAATGGTATAAAAAGAATATGTCGAGCTAATACGTGTATAATGTCCCTTCAGAGATCAATATGGCTTTATAATAAATTGGAAAAGGCACTTAATTTACACCCCTGACAGGTATCCATGGTAATGAGATACTTATTATTCATGTCACCTGTTTAATCAATGTCACTCAATATCATGTTTCCTGTAGGCTATTCTATAACAGCACAGGAACTAACAGTCAGTGTTTAAAGGTGATTTGTGCTATTACCACTGAAGATATACGAATACTCATGTTTAGACACATATCTACACTAATAAACTGAGCTCATAGGATAAATTAATTTACCCCATTTCAGCAATAAAAGAAATATTGTAATATTGTATCGTTGAAGTTCTCATGATATTACCATCACAATATATCACATTACAAGTCTCTTTTCTTAAATCAAGAGTTATGGTGCAGCAATATCTAAAAAAAAGACTACATAGACCATGATTCTTTGCTCCATTTCAAGTAGATTACAAGAAGAAATAACAGTTCTAGACACGTTTAAGTCTTAGTTCTTTGGATTAAGTCTTGTCAAGGCATTTTTAGAAGAATATGGATATTGTTACATCCCTAATCATGAGCCTCCCCACCATATCATGAGACTTGGATATCGTTACACCCCTAGTAATTTATATGTAATAACGATTCTAAAATAATTTATGCATTGAAGAGGTTCAGTATCTCAGTAAGCCAAGTCTACTCATAAGCATTAAAGTGGGACTTAACACATAAATGCCACCCAAAACCACATTTCAGATAGAGCTTCTAAACTGGTCAGTACCTGGAGGCCTGAAAAAAAGAGTGACGGAGGAGGGGATTTGGGGAAAAGTGTGATAGTGTGTGTGGTCTATCCAAACTCCGCCCCTGCAGCCAGGTGTTTGTAATCAGAAACGCCTGGATTTAATCAGAGCATGTTACCAACTACAAGATGCAGAGGCTCCTGGAGACAGAACATGCTCAGTTTTATACGTTTTTGACCACAAAACTGCACATGTTTTATTGGAGGAGTAGCTGCTACTGAAACACCATGTTAATAGAAAATGTGGATTTACTGTTTATTTCTGCTTAAAGTAGTTCTATTATTTTAACATAACTAATCAGAGCCAACCAAATCCACTAAGGCCTTCAGGTCCTTCATATTAAATTGTGTATGATCCTCAAAATTAGAGGTGGGACCAAGTCATTGTTTAGCAAGTCTCAAATAAGTCTCAAGTCTTTGACCTCAAGTCCGAGTCAAGCCTCAAGTCAAAGACAAGCAGGTCCAAGTCGAGTCTCAAGTCACTGGTATATAAGTCCAAGTAAAGTCCAAGTCGTCTGCTTTGAGCTTCAAGTCATTTCAAGTCTTTAAACTAAAGAACCAAATATAGCTTTGATTTTTGCAATTTATATTAATTTTAAACTAAATTGTACTTCAAAAGTCATCATATATGAGTATTTATATAACAGTTGTAGAAATGCAATTTTTTTTCTTTTTAAATGTCTTGACAAGATCTTAGTGTGAATCATTACGGTTAGAATAGAAAGAATGAAAAGTGCTTAATAGTTAATTTGTCAACTAGTCTAAGCATCAAGTCTTCTCAAGTCACAGGCCTCAAGTCCAAGTCAAGTCTCAAGTTATGGTCTATTTTATCAAGTCAAGTCTCAAGTCAAAAAAATAGTGACTCAAGTCTGACTCAAGTCCAAGTCACGATTTGCAAGTCCCCAACTCTGCTCATTTTTTTCAGTCTATGCAGTTATATGTAGTCTGTGCAGTTTTTATGTTAATTCTGTGTATGTCTCACTGCTTTTGTTGTTTTGTTCAGTTTGACTTTTTTTTAGTAAACTATTGTAAACTAATCTAAGCCTTTCACTTAGATGTACAGCTCTCTATCAGATGGAACTACATTTCCCAGTGTCCTCTGCTCCTCTCTTCCCGCCAGAGGAGCTGTCCAGTGCTGACCCGCCTCCTCCTCCTCCTCCTCTCCTCCCACCCCCGCGGAGAGAGACGGTGCAGAGCAGAGCGCGCTGTGGCTCCGGGACCAGACGCATCTCATGCACTTTGGCTGATGTGCTGGACTAGTAACACGTTTCTCTGCCTTTTTCTTGATAAAGGAATTAAAAAAAAAAAAAAAGTTTAATTCCTTTACAACAGCTTGAACTGAAGGATTAACAAGACCGATTTCTAAACAGGTAAGCACAATAACCTCATAGAATCACAATTTTTAATTCACATTTTATTCACTTGTGTACCATGCTTTCTGAAATCAAGCAATACTGAGAACGCCTATGTTGCTGTTTATCTGAAATCTTATGCTGTATTTGAATCTGTACTTATGAAAAGACGCTGTTCATGCAAGGACAAGGCAGCTGGATACATATTATTGACATAGATGTAAATTGAGCCTCGTATCGATCTAACAGGGTTCCAGTACTTAAAATAGAAACGGATATATTGACTATGCATCTTTAAAAAGTCCTTCTGCATGACACATTTGACTGATGTTGTAGGCATGATGGTTAACTTCCTAATACGTGCAATGCTGAATACATGACTAAACTAACAATAATAACTTCATATGTTAACAATGTAGTTCTGTGTTAACTTGCATTGTCCATATTTATATAATTTGAGTGTTATTAGTGCATTGAGACATGGTTGTTAATGTAGATGCAACCTGGGCTAGATGCAATCCAGGTTATTACTTCAAATTGGTCATTTTTGGAAAGGGCACCAATTTATTTTCTTGCTTGTTTCAGAAATGCACTCTCCTTTTCTAGCTTTGCCAATACTGAAGCTCAGACTGAAACTGTTCACCTTTTCACAAACGTTATTAGCCAAAGTTATAGTCACATTTCCCTCTTGATACGAGATTTCCTCTTTGGGACTTCTGCCATAGAAATGCTCAGTTTTGGATAAAGTGATCGTTTGTATTCATTCACGGTAAGACGCATGCCCCCGGAGTTCATTATGTAATTGTGTATTCTTCAGCACACTGGCTGATGGACAAAGGGTTAGGCTCGGTTTCTTTACATTTACTGGAAACACAAACTGCTATTTTGAACGGCCTGGTCTAAATATAGCTCAGCAGTGGTCTAGAATTACACACGAGTCAACTCAACTCTGATGCTATTGATTAATGTTAAGCATATTGACGGATCTCACTTCCTAAATCTTTCTAGTTACTGAGAAGTCACTTGGGCATTTCATGTCAACAGAAATGGATGGATTCTTAATGTAGAAGTGTCTCATATCTTTTGGAAATCTCAGTACTGAAAACTGTTCACAGACTTTGCTGCATTAGTCTCCATAACAGCCCTAAATGCAATTTTGAGGACATTTAACCTGTCAAGTAAAATAATATTGATCCCATATCAGCATTGTGGAACTGATTTTGTCAATGGGTCTGTTTCATCAAAGGTGACAGACGAACAGCAGCACAGGGGAGACTTCAGGAACAATTTATGTATAAAATAAACTTGTTCTGGTGCTATTATAGGGTTGCTGAAAGAATCCAAAATTAGGGAAAGGTCACATTCACAGGACAGAAATTAACCTTTCCTGAATAGCTTTAGAATTCATTCATTCATTTTATTTTATTTGTTTAAGCAAGGTAAAATAAAATCAACAACAATAACAAAAAAAGGAGTAGGATGAAGTCTAAAAAACTTATAATGTCCTGCCTCAACTATTCTGTCAAATAGTTGACACTTTTTTTTTTCTTGACTTTTGGAGTGTTTATCTGTCCTATGCATTACATGAATACACACACACACACACACACACACACATATATATATATAAAAATATATTTGAATGATCTTGAGCTGTATCAAAACAAGACCACATAGATTAGTATACGGCCATGGACAAATATTGAATATGTGGATGACTGAAGGATTAAACAGATCATATAAAAGAAATCAATACAGTTTAATGTTGAATAGCACATTCTATTGTTTAAATAAAGACTTTTTTATTATTATTATTTTTGTGTGGTATCAAAATCGGTACTGAATATCAAGTCTATTCCTTAGCATTTAAATCTTTCTTTCGTCACTAGTTGTTGTAGGTGTTCAAACATGTAAAGCTAAATAAATTTAATCATAATAAATTAATCATCTGCTCCTCCAGGTCCATTCAGCCTCCTCTTTCTCTGACCATGAGTGCGTGCAGCAGAAAGGCCTTGACCCTCCTCAGCAGTGTGTTTGCTCTGAGCGCTCTGGGGCTGCTGGGAGTGGCCGTCAGCACAGACTACTGGCTCTACCTGGAGGAGGGCGTCATCATACCGCTCAACCAGACCACGGACATCAAGAGCTCCCTGCACTCAGGCCTGTGGAGGGTCTGCTTTCTCGTCGGTGAGTGTGTTTGTCTCTCAGAGGAGATAGAACAGCGTAACTTTTAACTCTTTACTCCGACTGTCACAAATATGCAACAAACCGTTTGGATTAAGATATAAGCTTTGGAAAGCACTTGTGTCTAGTTGTGGCAAACTTGCATCATACCCAAATTTGTATTTATTTATTTTTAGCTAAAGTCAAATAATAACATTCAATAATCTCAACTTAATTTACCATCTACTTAAGGACAAAAACACCCACACACATCTATATAAATTCAGGCGTTAAGGCGTTAATAGGGGTCAGATGGAGCTAATTTCATTCACTTTCACATATTAATGTTGTCATTATGTGTTGGTGAGTAATCAAAATCAAAGACCGAAAGGTACCAAAATAAAAAATAATGACTAGGTTGGTTGATTTGTTTTTATTTTGAGTCTGTGCAACAAGAGGATAAAAACAAAAAAACAAAAAGTGATGATAAAAAGTTTCAATCTCTCCAATCGTAAGAGACTACACAACAAAGGCATTACTGCTCCCTTGTTCAGTGTCAGTAGTACCAGTCACAGTGGCATTTGCCCCCAGGTTACTGTCTTTTAAAAGTCATTTGATGCCTAAATCTAAATGTGACAGTTGCTCTGGGGCGGCTCTGGGGGGCTTTGGGGTGGCTCCCTGTGTCAGCGACAGTGCAAATGACAACATGGACTTTCACTACAAAGAACAACTGAGAGGCACGTCCTGATCCACGAGCCAGTGTGAAGACGGAGTCCTAAAAACTCACTCCAACATCATATTCACATTCAGTGATAATACTTAATAATAAATGTTGAAGATTGGATAAAAGTACTACTAACTGGCCCTGCTTGAAGTTGTTCCTCCAGTTGTGTTTGTGGAAAAGAAAAATACATGACAAGAATTTACCTTTTATAGAAACTAACATTGAGAAATTAGCATTGAGAGGCCATATTGTGGTTAATATGGCCTCTTTTTAAATCTGGCCACAAACATAAGCACTGACAGAACCACTGACCTTGATACAAAGGTGCCTTGGTAGACGTCTGTGGGCTCCTATTATCTCTTAACTTAAATTACTGCTGAATAACATTACAAATTCTAATACACTATAAACAAAACTCTGCAAAACACTGTGCAAAAAATGATCAGTTGGTCATTATTGCCGTATGATTTGGCCTGGTTTCTCCCTGTTTCCTCTCCCACTGTGAGAGCATACCATCTCCCACCTGCTCCACCTGGACACCTGCCCTACGTCTCTCATTAGCTGTTCATTCGAGGCTGTGGTCACTCAGATTTTGTCATGGTGTCATACCCTTTTACCTTCAATCCTTTTCTGTTTGTGGCTCATCCTTTTTCCTTTCTCAGGTGAAGAGACCGGTCGCTGCTTCACCATTGAGTACATTATGCCCATGAATGCGCAGATGACATCGGAGTCCACTGTAAATGTGTTAAGTGAGTTCAAATCTGCAATTATTTTGATAAAGCAAAAACATGTTTCTAATAATATAATAGTAATAGGAATTGATTGTAAAAGTAAGTTTATATCAGAAATGAGACCAAGTCATTGTTTTGCAAGTCTCAAGTAAGTCTCAAGTCTTTCACCTCAAGTCCAAGTCAAGTCCCAAGTCAAATACAGGTAAGTCCAAGTCGAGTCTCGAGTCACTAGCCCATAAGTCCAAGTCAAGTCCAAGTCATCTGCTTTGAGCTTCAAGTCATTTCAAGTCTTTAAACCAAAGTACCAAATATAGTTTAGATTTTTGCAGTTTATTGTAGAAATGTAAATTTTTCCTTTTTAAATGTCAAGAGATTAGAGTGAATCATTATGGTCAGAATAGAAAGAATTCAGATTTAAAAGTGCTTCTCAAGTCACAGGGCTCAAATCCAGGTCAAGTCCCAGGTCATTGATCTTCAAGTCCAAGTCGAGTCCCAAGTCTTAGTCCATTTTATCGAGTCAAGTCTCAAGTCCTAAAAATAATCCCTCAAGTCTGACTTGAGTCCAAGTCACGACTTGCAAGTCTCCACCTCCGGTCTATATTATTGTAATCAACATATCTGTGAGGTGAATTGTATTGAAAGAGCGTCCAAGGCTACACTTACTTCTGCACTGACGATTAAAGCAGTATAAATGAGGCCTAAAATGATAGTGGATAGCATTTGAGTTAATTTGCTGCATAGAGAAGCCAAAAGAGCTTGAAAATGATTCAAATGAGTGTAATTTTGAGCACCCTGGATTGCTGCCCAAGAGGAGGAGCTCACACACTAATAGAGCCAATTTCAGTAAAGTTAAATTCAGTAATTCATCACAATATCCACTTTAACTGTATCCTTCAGAAGACTTCCACTTAAATACTATGTAACTTTTTGGGGGGAAGGTGCTCCGCCTGCTTGCTTCCTTGGAGATGCTATTTCTTGGCCAGGAATATCTATCCCCATGGAGGTACGCAGGTGAAGCTTTAAGCAAGTAAAAAATATATGCTTTTCAGGATATTTTTGCATAATGAAATATCTGTATACAGTTAAATGCAAGATAGAAAGGTTCTGAACTTAGCAAGCAAAGCAATGACATCTCCTTTGAAACCAACAGAAAAGTTACATAGTGCACCTAAATGTTTTTTTATTTTATTTTTTTTTCTGTGTTGTGTACAGAGATGATCCGCTCTGCCACACCCTTTCCTCTTGTCAGTCTGTTCTTCATGTTTATCGGTTTCGTCCTGAACAATATTGGACATGTTCGCCCACACCGCACCATCCTGGCCTTCGTCTCGGGCATCTTCTTCATCCTCTCAGGTTCACCTTGCTCTTTAAGTTCGCTTCACTCTAAATGTTTCCGATTATTCAGGGTTATGTTTCTTCTTGTTGGTTCAGGCTTGGCTCTAGTGGTTGGCCTGGTGCTGTACATTTCCAGTATCAATGATGAAGTTTTGAATCGGCCCAAGAGCAGTGAGGCCTACTTTTCCTATAAGTATGGATGGTCTTTTGCTTTTGCCGCCATCTCTTTCCTGCTCACAGAGGTATTGTAATATTCACTAATATTTCCTAAATGAAATGTGTAATGCTGTGTGTGCTTATGCTTGAAGTTTTCAGAAATCTCTTATGCCATCCAGTGGTCACATACTGAAACTACACGTACTGATTAGAGTGCGTAAAATGCTATTGTGACAGTGATCATTGTTTTTTGTTTGCTCCCACAGAGTGCTGGTGTCATGTCAGTGTATCTGTTCATGAAGCGATACTCAGCAGAGGAGATGTACCAGCCGCGTCACGCCGCCTTCTACCGTCCGCGCCTCAGTAACTGCTCAGACCACTCAGGACAGTTCCTGCACCCAGAGGCCTGGTCTCGAGGTCGAAGCCCCTCAGACATTTCCAGTGACGCGTCCCTCCAGATGAGCACCAGTTACCCCGCACTGCTCAAATGCCCCGAATATGACCAAGTGTCCTCCTCTCCATGCTGAGACTACAGAGACCTCACAAGGACTGCTTATACACAGACTGTATAGTTATTATACACTCAACAGTGTCTTCTTTTCTTCTTTCTATACTTTTTTATATTTGACAGATATCTCTTGTGCAATAAGCAGACAAGTTCAAAAATAAATTCGAACAATATGAGTATTGTGAAAATTGTAAAATAGGAAATGTGAGACCTGTAGCTACATGTTCCAGCTGGAAACCCAATGTATATTGTAAACATACTGTACATTATTTGTTTAAACAGCGCTTCATTGCACAGACCACTGTATATACAGTACGAGACACTTTGAGTAAAATAACATCAGTTATTATGTTTCCCCTCTAGGAGGTGCTGTTTCTACATTGCTATTGGTGATGAATGCATTAAGTGTCATCCCTCAAACACCAGAATGTGAATGTCTTTTAATGGATTTCAGAAAGATGGAAAAATTTGGACTGTTGCCATAGCATTTAATAATTTAAAACATGATGAAATGTTCTCAAAATGTCGCCTTTAAACAGTATACTGACCCATTAATAAGTGACACTGCTCTAGAGTATAGTAATATTAGCAACAACTTTAAATATATAAATACATTTTTTGACTTGCTTAAATTGAGTATTACGGGAACCATGTAGCCTATACTCAAGGAGGAATAAACCCTGCTGTAACTGCTCATATTTGTCCTTACTCGTTTGAGATTTCTCTTCTAAACTCGAGAGGGCGCCCTTGTTTCATTTGACTTTCATTTGGCTCTCCCACTGGGACACTTGAGCCTGCTCGTTTCCTGCTCGGTCTTCAATGAAGCAGGTTTCAGGTAAGTAATTATTGCGTGTTAATGACAGAGCTCTGTAGTATTCAGGGCCTGTCACTGGTGTCCCGCGACACGTCTCTGTTCATTAATGATGTCTTCAATGCAAATATGTAGGTCAAGATCAGCATTAATAATAAATGCGCCATACAACTGCAGTTGGCATTATATATTCTTTATGTAGATACATGTCATGTGCAATGTTACCAATAGATTTTACAGAATATAAAATAACAATTGCCCACATGGGCAGTACAATATTGTGCCTCAGACACAAGGCTTTCATTTATTTTACAAATCACACATAGAAAACTAACGGTTTACTTTATAGTTTGACATCATCTTCAATATTAGATATTACTTTGCTAATATTATAAACATTGCATCAGTTAGTCATTTTTCTATAGTCTTCATAAATATAACCACTTTTACATCAGTCATGGCTTATTAATGACTCCAACAATCTCATCCATATTATGTGTTTTATGTGATTAGGTTTAAGGCTTAGTAAAGAATATCCCAAACATCAGCTGATGCAACTTCTGCCAATCTGCTCCAACGTGTCCCACATGTGCATACTACAAGAGACCAGAAACCTATACATGATATATACACACATAACTTAAGTGTAGAATAACATTTACAGGGAGTAAACCATTTCACAAAGCAAATAAATACAAATCAACAACTGGTTATATTATTTAAGATGAACACAAAAGCAAGCAATCGATTGAAGGATTACAAACCAAATACAAACTAGGTTACAACAATACGCTGACCTTCACTAACACAGGCCAAAGACGAGGGAGAAATGAGCTTAATTAGACTGGTACCCATTAGGCTAAAGCAAAGCCACAGATAAACCCCTCAGTCCACCGGGGGAGTTCCTCAGCCTCTGCGAAAGCCCTGTATCTATAGAACTAATATAAAACGTATGCACTTTTCACAAACACATAAATCAGCCCAGCTGACGTCTACACTAAACCTGAACCTGAGCCAGTGCTGTTGTTTCAGAGGTCGCCGTGACACCTGCAGAGACCCTCAGGGTGAGATGGTCAGAGAGTCTGTCACGTAACACATCTGTCCATGGGTCATCTCCACTGCACCGTCTTATCTGATAAAGCACAGTGGAGGTGCTTCTCATAAGTGCTATGTGCACTGACAGCATGCACACTTCATTCACAAACAAACATATGGTCACCACATGCAAACATGGCCGCTGTCCTCATGACTGAAGCCCACACAGTGATGTTCCTCAGTGTTCCTCTGTAGTGGACAGCTTGATGACAGATTTCCGTGGAGATGAGGGTGAGAGCAATGAAAAGTCCTGGTTTGAGGAGGATTGTCCACGCTCACTTCTTGTTGGCGACGCGTCTCTTCCTGGTGGCCAACATGTCGTAGAAGGGGTCTCTGCTGATGCTCGCCCTGGAGAAGTCAATCAAAGAACAGTAATGAGATCAATAACCAGGCCACATGAGAGCCACTCAAGCATCTTTGAGATGGAAATGTAGCCACATTTACACAAACCCCTGCCTTAACTAGATCAGAAAAGAAAAAAACTTTATGCAGTGACCTAGTTTGGTTTCCATGGTTTCTGAGGAGACCCCCCCCCCCTTCCTAAGTTTTCCCTTTTCCTCTGTTTTTTTCTGTAACATCTGAATGATCCCTGCCCCAGGCCTGTGTGGAGGAAGTGCTGCTGCAGGTGAGTGGTCTGAAAGAGGACAAACAATGCCACCACAGATTATGGACTCTTCACAACCTGCACTGAAGCAAGGGAACAGTGCCATAAAATCTGGAGTGAGTCAGGAAGCCATTGGGGCTCCACTGAAGACCCAGTTTAACGGCTATAAAATCCTATTAGCACAAAAGAGGAAGAGGATCTACCCCCCGCTGCAGATATCTTTCATTAATTTTACACTTTCACACAGCAAGAACAACTGTCACATAACATATTTAATTGTCATTTTCCATCAGCAGCAACAAATACGATTACAGAAACAAAACAAAAGCACTATGATGGGTATTGAAATAAAAACTATTTAGTATAGTGAAATAATTATTGGAAACTTTTCAAGAACTTTCCCTGAAGCTATCTTTTAGTGTGACCTCATGTCCTCTCAGAGCGCCCTCTTCAGGTGTGTTTTATGGGGATTGCAGGCTCAGCCCCGGGGTTTTTTAGAGATTTGACTAATCTCTCATCTCCTCCTCGGGGAACTCTCTCGGTGAATATGGAGAAGGAAGAGGAGGAGGGGGGCTGTTCTACGTTAAAACATACTGTACACTGCTCTGTTCTGCTGAAACAACTGTCTTTGACATTGCAGCGTATTCTGTGAGGATGACAATAGAGTATTCAACATGGGTGAGTGAGAGCAAGGTGAGCTGTAGGTTAGGTATTCAAGAGAGGTACACACGACATAATTGAGTGTACAACATGACATTAAGACCTATACATAGTCTCAGTGCAGGCTATGACTGAGTTTGCATGTTTTTTGGGGGGTCCGGGTGGGTTTCCTGTAGGCACTCTGGTTTCCCCCATGAACCCAAAACATGCACAATAGGTCAAATCCTCCAGCGAAAGTAGTCCTGATCTAGCCAGGCTGGCGCCACCTTGAGCCTCCGTCTACACAATTTCATTTCTCTCCAGCGACTGGGTCAGGAATCAGAATACACTAGACAGTTTGCAAGAACCCCGGAAGTTGTAGTCAGAGCACCAGCCAATCAGCCAAGAGCCATACAGTCTGTGTTGGCAACGATTCCTGAGATCGAGGATTTAAAGCCAGAACAAAGAGAATGTTTGGTGAATTTTCTCAAAGGGAAAGACGTTATTGCCCTTCTTCCTACAGGATTTGGGAAAAGCTTAATATACCAGTCAGCCCCGTTAGAGGCACATTACAAAAAAGTACCTGCCTACCATCGAGCAAACGAATCCTAATGCTGCGAGGTCAGACGGTTTCCACAAAGTGAAACCGACTGATGAATCAGGCTAGCGGTTTCCCTCATGAACCCAAAACATGCAAATAGGTCAAACCATTCAGCTAAGGTAGTCCTGACAAAGACTAGCTCTACATTCCCCATTGGATCCCTGGCACTGCACTGTGGCACTCACTGTTCACTGGCAAGTTGCCCAAGTGGCACTGAAGGATGGGTCAAATACCAAGGACAAAATTCCCTACAGCGACCAAAGTGTACCTTTACATTTACCCTGTACCTTAAGTTTATCCCTTAACCTATAACCACTATTAATATCTGACAACAATCACTTCAATCTGGTTGTTAAATTTTACATTCAGACCATACCATGAAAAACAGCTGCAGTTTTTGAGATATTCAGACCCAGCTATGTACAATTCAATCTTTAAATATTGACTTCCACCCAGAATTATTATTATTAACACATAACCCCTCCCTTACTTAATAGATTTGATCCACTCCTCTTTCTCTTCTGCCGTCGGAGCTGATATCCTGTACACCACATGGTTCCCCTCCACTACTCGTCCATCTGCCTCCGTCTTACAGGCTTTGATCACCTGGCCTTTGTGATTAGGATTGTACAGCTCAAAACAGTTCTGCAGAGACAAGAGCACCATGGTTAACAAGCGGCTGTCAGGGAGCTCTCACTGTCAGTGTCAAAGGAGCAGACTTTTCTATTTGAGATAACTTCAGATTTAGAGTAATACTATGTATGCAGTAGACTCACTGGTTTCCTGGGCTCCTCCACCTCTCTGATGCTTAAGTTTTCTAGAGGAATGATCCCACGAGGCTCCTTGTCCTGAAGAAAAAGAGAATAGGTGGTGATATTTTTGTTCTGGATTTGAGAAGTTTTAACTTGGCTTGATTTGATGTGGAATACGGTCTTGTGAAAGTGACAGGCTCCAAGATCTGGGTCCACCACCAATATCTCCATAAAGAAGTTACTGAATATGTTCTGCAATATGGCAATAAAATCACAATGCAAGATAGATAGGTTTAATGCCATACTGTGGAACATTCCAGGCAAAACAATAAAATGGAAACAAAGTGGCAGACACCTCCCAAGGAAAGTTTTAGAATCCACCTTCAACTTAAAAAAAAAAAAAAAAAGAATAATAATGGTGAGCTCAGAGTCATTACTCCATTGGCACATAGTTTGGCTTGAACTAAAAATTGAAAATCTAAATTCAAGTCATTTTAACAAATCAAATAATTTCTTT